ATTACTAGATTCTACCCCCACATTTGTCATCTTTTCCACTTGATCAGGAATTGAATTAAATGTGGTTTCTTGATTTTTAAAAGAAGTATTTTGGGGCACACCCGTTTTCATTGGAAAAACATCTTCAAAGAAAGTAGCATCACGAAGTTCTACAATAGTATTGACATCTATGCCAGAAATTTCAGATTTAATAACCAAAAATCTCAATGCATAAGAATGTTCAACATAACCAATAAAAATATCATCAACAGTTTTAGGCCCAAGTTTCTTTCTTTTATGTTCAGGGACTAAAACTTTTGCAAGACAGCCCCACACTTTAAAATATTTCAAACTTGGTTTTCGGCCCGTCAAGAGTTCAAATGGACACTTAACTTTATGTTTCATGGGAATTCTATTCAGAATATGACATGCAGTATTCAAGGCTTCCCCCCACATAAACTTAGGTAACCCAGAATTCTCTAATAAACTGTTAATCATATCTTTAAAAGTTCTATTTTTCCGTTCAGCTACTCCATTTGATTGTGGTGAATAAGGAGGTGTTTCTTCATGTACTATATCATATTTTTGGCATTCTAGTACAACTAAATTAGAAGTATATTCTCCTCCCCTATCAGATCTTAACTTTTTAACTTTCTTGCCAGTTTGATTCTCTATTTCATTCTTAAAAATTAAGAATTTTTCAAGAGCTTCATCTTTACCCTTAAGTAGATACACATAGCAATATTTAGAATAATCATCAATAAAAGTGATAAAGTATTTCTTTTGGTCACGAGTAAGCACTTCATTAAACTCACAAATGTCGGTATGAATTAAATCAAGTAATTCTGAATTTCTATCAATTGAATGATAAGGTTTTCTTACTTGTTTAGTAGTAGCACATACCATACATTTCTTAGTTTTATCAATAGAGTGCTTAGGGATTAAATTTAAATTCATCATTCTTTTTACAGAATCTAAATTAACGTGACCCAAACGACAATGCCATAAACAAGAAGAATCATAATTCTCAGATACATAATTCAATTCAAAATAATCAACCATAATCTTAAAAAGTCCATCTGACAAGTAACCCTTGCCAATAAAAGTTCCAACAAATAAAATTACAACTTTATTTAATTTAAAAGATAGCTCGTAACCCTCCTTAACAAGAATAGAACCACTAACAATGTTCCTTCTAATTTCGGGAACGTGATGCACCCCATGCAAGGGCATAATTTTTCCCGAAGAAAATTTTATTTCTACTTTTCCAATTCCTTGCACACTTGCAGCACTAGTGTTCCCCATCATCACTGTTCTTCCAACCGCAAGCTGATAAGAAACAAAGAGCGATTTATCAGCACATACATGCACATTCGCTCATGTATCTATTAGCCACTCATTGGAATTATAAATAGTGAAAATTTGAGGATTAATAGAAACATACCCATTAGAATTAGTCCCTCCCGTCACCATGTTGACTTGAGGTCCCCCAGATTGAGCCTTGGCCTTTTTGTTAGGACACAATTTGGCCCAATGCCCCATCTGTCCACAATTCCAGCATGGTCGATTTGCCTTTGGTTTCTTTGCAATTTTTAATTTGGCCTTTATTGGTTTAAAAGATGATGGTTGCTTATTTTTAGAGTTATGTGCTTGCTTCCCCTCAGTTATAACATGAGCCTTCGGTTGAAATTCAACAGGCGCAATATAACCCGCTTTCTTATGTTCCTCCTCAACAGTAATGGAATGCATCAAAGATTTCCAAGTGATCTTTTTCATTTTATGTTTTAAAGTCATACCAAAATCTTCCCATGATTTGGGAAATTTTTCTATGACCGCCATCACTTTAAATTTTTCAGGCAATTCCATGTCTGCTTCACGAAGAGAATGTAAGATAAGTTCAAATTCTTATGTCTGTTCTAACACGGATTTACATTCTTTCATGTCAAATCGTATGAATTTAGAAACTATATACTTTTCAAGACCGTGGTCCTCAGTATTATATTTCCTATCCAACTCATCCCAAAGGTCCTTAGCCGTGCCGTGGAGGGTGCAATAGACATCAAATAACATGTTGGAGAGACCCAACAAAATCATGCCTTTTGCAATTTCATCCCTCTCACACCATGAAGCTTGGCGTTCAAGACTTTTGGGATCCGATTCAACAACGGGGGGACACACCGTCATAATTACCAAGAGCAAGCCCTTGGTGATTAACCAAATTTTCATGCGTTGTTGCCAACGCTTGAAAAAATGCCCAGAAAAGTTTTCCGACATTCCGGTTAAATCAACCCTGTGCGAGCCCGTAGCAACATACTCAGATGTGTCTCCACAATTAGTCACAGACACAGAATTAACATTATTTTTAGGGATATCATTCACATCATTCACAACAACATTTTCGGAAACAACTGCATTTTCCAAGTTTGCAATTTTTGGATTTTCCAAAACTCGAGAAATAATATCTTTCTTCAAGATTGTTAGAAAAATGATATTAAAAATGCGAGTTTAACCAAATAAAAATCCCGAATTTATACAAATCACCAGACAAACCACCAAATGCAAGAACAGAAAAAATAATAATGATAATAATTAGAATAAGTGAAAAAAGAATAAAGAAAAGATAAGAAGAACTTATCGCAGGATCGTCCGTTAAAACGGACTGGCCTTGAAGAAAGATAGCCCCCGTATCCCGATAGCTATTCGGACGGGTCTGGCTAGCTCGCTCCCAGGATAATCCTACTCCGTTTCAGACTTGTAGCTACCTTGACTGAAACCTTCGACCGTTGCCCGGTTTGCCTTTGAAAGTAAAAAGGATGAAAGAACTATGGATTATATGCTCTCGACACAAAGGGATTAAATTCCTTGAAGACAAGAAGAGTGCAGACAGAAAGTTGTCTTCGCACTGAGAGAAAAAAAAAAATTGCGCAGGTGATTTTTCTTTGTGCGTTAGGCAAGATCAAAATGGATAGAGCATGTAGTGGGTTATCTCTTCTGCTTGTTTTCGGAAATCAGGCACTCATAATATATACATATGTTCTAGTATAAAGAAAAGAAATGGTTTTTGGATGTACATGGACAGGCTGGTCGGAGAAGCAGTTATGATACCAATTAGTATAGCCATAACTTTTCAGTTTCATCAATAACTCTCTCAACTTGACCTGTTGTCTTCTTAATAATTTTGAAATTCAAAATTTCAAATTATTAATTACATTAAATTACATACGGATGTAATTTAAAATGAAATGTCCATCCATCCAAATTCTAAGAATATAATTTTGTCCTGAAATCAAATAGTCTCCAAAGCCGACTCATTTGCTTAATCATTTTGAATCCTTTATATGATCTTTGAACAATGTTCCTTATCATATTATAAGAGATAATTTATTTCTAAAATGGACAAAATATTCTTCATATTAATACGTCACTTTTACAGCCATTACAACTATGGATTCTTACTGAAACAAGTCCATATTTATGGTTGTACTTTGATGTAAAAATAATATTCTCAATTCTTATTTTATACATGTACACTTTAGGACTCATAAGTGAGACCCCAAGAAAATAATATTTCGTCATATTTCCAACAGAACTCAAATCACAGACTAATAGACGAGCATCTCTAAGTCACAATTGTCCAAATTGATCTTCTTGCTTCTAATTTTAACAAAACCTCCGTGCAACCAATAATTCAAAGTAATACAAAATAAGGTAAATCCTAAACTGTTGAAGCTCACAAGTTCTATAGTCTTGCAATATATTAATATTTTTATTTGAGCTAGATGAATAGTTAATTGTCGATGTTTTTACATATTCATGATCTTTTATTCTCATATATTAACATAAATGGATTAACTATTCAAATCTAGGTGGTTTCTTCTTACTTTTAGAAACTTGTTAGTGTACTGTGACTTTAATTTATTACTACATATATTTGTTTTTTCCAAATATTTGGTTATAATCTTTATGTAATTTCTAATTATAGCAGCTTTCACACACATAAATAACACACACTACATATTAGCTAATTGAGTTGGGGTTGATTGATCCACTCACATGGAATGGGTCATGCGACAATATCTAATGACTCGTGAAGGTCACGGAGCAGGGTAAAATCCACGTACTAAAGTCACACGTCAATTTGAGTTTTGCACTAGTCACTCCATCCTGACCCATTGGCACATCTAGCTATAGTTTTCCTAAAGGGTAATTCTATTTACAGCCACAAAATTGCTATTTACAGCCACCAAATGATTCAAATGTCTACATCGCCCTTGCAAACTATTAATCATCGTTGAAGTAAGGCTGAAACACCATCAACTTGATAAACTGGATGGAGGAAGAGAGTAAGACACCATCAACGGCACTGTTAGGAAGTGGCTAAGAGGTTGTTTGAATTTTTTATTTTCGGAAATTCCTAGAAAAAGAATTTTATATTTTTGGAAATTCCTAGAAAAAGAATTTGTGAGAAACAAGCAGTTGATGAAGAGCTAAGGAATCAATTGCGGTGGAAAAATATATCTACACGCACACACGATGATTATCAAATCAAAAAATAAAACGGTAAGAAATATCTTGAGTGGATGATGTGTATGAAACAGGAACAATAACAACACATCTTTCAAGAGTGCGTATAATTAATCTGATTATAAACCATGGCAAGAATCGGGACATGGATCAATTAAGCCTCTCAATTCTCCTCCAGAAAATTTTGGATTTTGAAATCGGTTCTAAAGAGCATATCGTAGACTCACAGAAATTATTATAATCACAACCATTATTGGAAAGAGCATCATTGCTGGCATTGTAATTGTGCAAAACTTGTATTGCGGGCTGCGACATCCAGTTCTTCGGGTGACCTAAAGGTTGTATTAAGTTACACTATAAGGATATAATAGGAATTAAAGAAAAGTTTTGGCTGTATTTAGTAAATTAGTGGCTGTGATTAGAACTTCCCTTTCCTAAAACCACAATAAATAAATCAGTCAACACATAAAAGAGAAAAACTATTGGGCTCAAGACCAGTAAAGGCCCAGGCTCATAGCCAAAAAATATAAAGGCTAGTGAGACGAGGCATCTAGGGGTTAAGAGGCCCAAGTTTAAATTGCCAAAATCCGTTTCTTCCAGGTAGCAAATCATCCGGGCTCGCCGGGACAGCAGGTCACGACGGTCGCCGCCTAAATCCACCGGACGCCACCTTCACTCCTCATTCTGCGAATCGCTACTCACCCTTCAATCTTCACTCTTCCTCAGGTTTTTTCGTTTCGGATTTTTTTTTTGTTTTACTTTTAGTTTAACTGCTGGATTATGACTTTTAATTTTTGTTTTTGTAGCTTCCGTATATTTACATCAATGTTATGTTTATTACTTTTAGTTTAGCTGCTGTTTTTTAACTTCTAAGTGGGAATATTTTTTAATATTTTTAGCTGCTGGTTTTTATGATTATTGTGAATCTGTGATTTTGTGAATATGTTTCTGTTATGATTTTTAATTCCTTTTTTTTAGCTGATATGTTTGTATTAATTTGAATATGTGGTCTTGATTTTCACATTTTTAGTTGCTATTTACATTTCTTATTAATGTGACAAGGTTAAATGGCCATTTGTTCACATTTTGTATTAATCCGACAAGGTGATTTTATGTGCCCCCACTGGATGGCAATGAAGAGAATTTGGTTTTTCCAATTGTGCTTGAAGTAGCCTCAAACTCATGTGCCTTGTTGAAATTTTATCGACCACACATTCATGACAATGTATTAAGATGATTTTTCTTTTATAAGGATGGTGTTTGTTGTTAAAAAAATTAATGTCCCTGTCTTTGACCCGGCAGGAAGGGAAGGTCCTTGGTCATAGTGCAGTGAGGTGGGCTGAGGAAGTTCTTGTAAACAATTGGTGATTTTCTAGAATATATCCTCTCTTGTTTGGTAGTGTTACTGTTACATGAAACATATGACTATGCTACGATTAATAGCTAATTAACTTCGGTCTTCGGTACACGTCCTGTGTCAAAGAGTGTCTACCCATTACTGGACTGCCAGATTAATAATCTGAGTACAAAGCTTTATGAAGATTTTTTTTCAAAATTTGTAAGCTACATCACAGATCACGGAATGTCCCAAATACGGTATTAATTGTATCCACTCTTTGTTACACTAGAGTTCATCGCTTTTTGTTTATTATCATGTCCTTTAAACAAGATATGCATTCTTATCACAACACATTACTAATTAATAATGTGTTGTGATAAGAAAAAGAATTACTAACTCCGTTCTTAAATAAATGCAGCACTTTGACTTTTACACTATTCACATGTTCTACTTTGACTACGTTTTATTTATTAATGTAATAATATTATTTTATGAAAAAAATATTGTTAAACTTGTCTCATTGTAAATTTTCATAATCTATTTTTTTTAATTTTTTTACTAATACAAAATCATTTATATTAATGGTCAAAGTTGTGTCTCGGTAAGTGTGAAATGTTGACCGTTGCATTTATTTAAGAACGGAGGAAGTATATCATAAAATCCAATTTATTCATAATTCTTCATTATTACATTACATGTTAATATTTCACAAAAATCAATTAGTGCAACGCACGGGTGAACTGCTAGTTCAGTTTAAAAGTATAGTGCAATACTGCGATTAAAATGATCAGAGTAAGTTTTTCCCCAAAAATAGAAGTTAAGATACTCCCAAAAATCCAGGCTGTTTGATAAGGTTCTGGAACACAGATTGAACCCGGAACCGGAAAGCCCAAATCTTCATAGAAAATGAGGCGAAGGCCTGGAATCGGAGGGCTACAGAATGCAGCCGCGGCTAGGGTTTGTTTCACTCTACTACCTCAAAATAAATGCAGTTTGTCTTTGATTTTTTTTTGGTTAGTTAATAATTCATATGCTTCTGATATAAGGACCAATACCGATTGCTTGGTGAAAATGTGGCCAAACTGAGAACTGATCTTATGAAAGAGCAGCTTGATACTTTTCGCTCTATGCTTGAAGACTTTGCTCGTAAACACAAGGTTGTCTTTTTTTAGTTATGTGATTTTTTAAATTTTCACTTTCACATATTTAAAAGTTAGATGCGTTGCAGTTCCAATTTTTACCGCTATTTATCCTTTTTTATTGCTATACTTGACGATAACAGATTCTATAGATATAAATACATAAATTACATTTCCAACAACAACAATGTAATTTGGGGTAGGCTAACCTGAACCGTCATATGAAATCGGAATTAAAAACATTTGATAGAGAAAGAAGGAGATAAACAATATAAGATCAATCAGCCACAATCGTCACCTGAATGTTTTCCCTTCACTTGGTCATTTCCTAATCTCCAATTTCAAACCAAGTAGTATCATCATTCTTAATCTCTCTATTACATGTCTATCTAGGTCATCCTCTCGCTTTCATCCTCCCCTCCCATCCCACCCACCCGTTAATCTTTGTAACAATTAACAATCACATCACTCGATCTTCTATATAGACTAAATCCCTACCATCGAGACTCTCTCATTTTATCTCTGATAGGTGTTACTTTCACTTTTCGTCTGATTTCTCATTCTTGAAGCGGATTTTTCTAGTTTTCTAGTATGCCACTTTGTAGTTTCATTTGTGTCCCAAGCCAGGATAAGGATTACATCTCATGAAATGAATCGAGATATGTAATATACATTTGCAATGCAGCAAACCTGGTCTCAAAGTTAGATATTGGTTTGAGAACATCAACCCTTTGTATTGTTCGAGGATTTCAAATGAGAGGGATGAGGATGGTCATGATCGTTTTATTAATTTACTCTGACATTAGCTTTTTGGAAGAAAAGTAAAAATGAAAAATTATTTAGACAACTACACGTATACGATTTAGTTATGAGTGTATGACGATACTTAGGATGTTTTCATTGGTCTAAATCTAGTCTAGTTTGTTTAAGTATGGTCTGTTCTGTTTAAGTCTAGTCTGAGACTGAAACAAATCCAAGTGAAAACATCCTTATTTTGATATAACACTAAAAGAAAAGATTGCAATCTAATTTTACCCCTCCCCACCAAAATCCCCATAGAATGGCTTAATCTTGCTGCGATTTAAGGATTTAAGACCTAAGGGCCCTGGAGGTGGTAAATATTGGATCTATGTCGTTATAGAAGATTGAAAGATGTAACTAAAACAGTATGTTGTGCATGCACTCGTGCACATGTAACTGAACCTCAGGTTTAGTGTAGAGTTTTGAGCTTTTCATGGACTCATTTCAGTTTTTTCTGTAATCTGTATACATTCTCTACATGTTTTGTATGCAATAAAAGTTGCATTTACTTACGATGCATTGATGCTACCAGTGTAACTGCGTTAGTTTTCTTTTGTAGAATGATATTCGTAAGAATCCTGCATTCAGATCACAATTTCATGAGATGTGTGCTAAAGTAGGAGTTGATCCTCTTGCCTCAAACAAGGGTTTCTGGGCAGAACTCCTAGGAATTGGTGACTTTTACTATGAAATTGGTCAGATACATATGCTTCAAGATTTTTATTTGTTTATTTTGACTAACATTGTGACATGGAATCCTTTATTTTTCTTTTTTCATCCATGTTATGATGTCAGTATAACTGTCTAGGCAGGGGTACAAATTATTGACATTTGTTTGGCTACAAGGCCTCACAATGGAGGGTTGATCGGTTTGGAAGAACTATGTAAAATTCTTGCTCAAAGAAGAAAGAGTGCTCGTGAGAATGTGTCTGAGGATGACTGTTTGCGTGCTATAAGCAAGCTGAAGGTATTTCACTAAGTTCCGCTAAACTCAGTTTAAGTTTTGCATGATTTAGTTTACTGCATCAATCAACTGCATCCTTTGCTGACTGTTGATCCTTTGGGACATAAGGTTTGATAGTATCTTTAGATTAAATTTATATGCATGTGAAATTGGATATTATGATCAAGCCCTTGATTTACATAAACGAACCTGTCTTGAGTGAGATCTGCAGTCCTTCTTTATACCCTCTTTTGTGCAATTTTTATGGTCTGTTCTGAACACTGGAAGGCCGGAAAACCCAGAGAGAAAGGAAGGAAAATTGTGGGGGAGTTGGAATAAAATAATACTCCGTATATGAATTAGTCAATGCTCTATATCATTTTAAGATATTTAGACAAAGTCATTTTTCTATATATTTCTATTATATAAAGACTATTATGTCATTGACATTTTTGGTACTCGATTTTGATTTTTTCCATTTTTAGTCCTTGACTATTGCGCTAGAGACACTTTTGGTACCCGTCTTTGAAAATTTCCATATTTAGTCCTTCAACTTTTATAAAAGTGACACTTTTGGTCCTCCAACTGTTATAATAGTGACATTTTTAGTCCTCCACTTATTGTGTTAAAATCATAATGGGAGGACTAAAAGTGTCAATTTGACAATACTCAGGGACTAAATGTGGGAAACCTTGAAGTCGGGGACTAAAAGTGTCTCTAGCACAATAGTCGAGGACTAAAAATGGAAAAATTAGAAGTCGAGTACCAAAAGTGTCATTGACATAATAGTCGAGGGACCAAAAATGGCAAAACTTCAAAAAGTAGGTAAAAATGCAATTTTTTTAATCAAATTTGATTTTCCAAGGTACATTAGAATATAAAAAAGACTGTCCCTTGATGTTCTGTGTTTGAAACATAGCTTAACATTTTTCGAATTGTGATGGCTTGTTGGAATTTTTCTTTTGTGTGATAAGTTTCCAAGGTACATTAGAATATAAAAAAGACTGTCCCTTGATGTTCTGTGTTTGAAACATAGCTTAACATTTTTCGAATTGTGATGGCTTGTTGGAATTTTTCTTTTGTGTGATAAGTTTCCTAAACACAGATAAAAAGCTGAGCTCTCCATTTTCATTTGAGGATTATATCCCTCATTTACTATTTAGCTTTGCCATGTGTTGTCCACTTTTTTAATAGAATTCATGCCTATTTTAGTTAGAGGAAGTGTTGTCCACTTTTGATTACTAGCAATATCCCGTGTTTGCATTTCTGTGTTGAAATTTCGGAAACACACTGAAGAGCTGTAAAAGACCTACAATTTTAAATCCAACAATTAGTCATCCAATTCAATAGTGGTTCTGAATATATGTTTCCTAATTGGGTTACATCTACAAACCATTTTCCAGGTACTGGGTAATGGTTTTGAGGTGATTTCAGTTGGAAAAAGAAAGCTTGTCCGCTCTGTCCCAACTGAATTAAACAAGGATCACAATGAAATTCTAGAGTTGGCCCAGGTTTGTTATTTCATGAAATTATCTAGCAACATTTACATACACGGTGAACCATCACACAACTCAATTTCTCATACATCTTTAAATTCCATTTTCATAACTTCAGGCTCAAGGCTTTGTGACAGTTGAAGAGGTACAAAGGCGGTTGAACTGGTCCCTCGGCCGTGCTACTGATGCTCTTGAGACACTGTTAGAGGTCAGTTTTTGGGGGTGTCTAAGCTTTATTCTGGTTATATATTATCATAACCTGTGATTGTGAATTACAGGAAGGTCTTGTTATGATTGATGATGGACACTGTGATGGCAGACGACGATATTGGTTTCCGTGTGTATCTTCCATTTCTACCTTTTTAGGAACTGATTCAGCTTCAGGAACAATGCACTTGTGAGTTGTGATATGTGTGTTTTTTCATATATATAAAATATACTCAATTACTCATGTCCATAGAATAATGAGTGAAAACTCTGTTAACCCCAGTCTTCCTCCATCCAGCAAGTATGTACTACTACTAGGTGTGTGCTAGAATAATATGAATTTGGCAGTTTCAGAACGTGTGATCTTACAATTTGTATTGTTGATTATTCTCTTTGGAGAGAAAAACCGTGTGTGATTTATGCTGAAAATATATTTGATTACAATACATTACTGCATTCCATTACTGTTTATCAGACGTTACGTAATGCTCTTGTTTCTGAATGCTTGCATGGAAAATCCAACAAAGACAACCAAATTTGCGAAAAATACATAAATTTGTGATGTGACTGTTGTAATCACCTTTGATGTAAAATGATGCAATTTATTAAATAATATGATATTGTCACATGCCTCTATTATAAGAAGCGGAATCCAACACTCCTTGCATTGTGTGTCATGTGTATTTAGGGATAGACCGGATCGGTGGTCCCGGATCGGGTTCGCTAATGTGCATGACCGGATCGGGTTCATTTCCCTGTCCCAGATCAAGACTAGGTACCTGACCGGGTAAAAGTGGTACTTGATCTTGGGTTCTAATATTTGGGACCGAATTGTGTAGTTCCAGTCCTGGTTTCAGTCCGGGATTGGCCAATGCTTTTGCTTGAAATTGGGTGAAAAACTATAACGGCTCCGGTTATGGTAGTGGGACCAGACCGCTCGGGTACTCGAAACCGGCCCAAAATTGGATTAATACGGGTTGGCCCAAAATTTTCACGAACAGGCTAATAAGGAAAATAATATCAGTTTTTTTTCACTTTTCAAAGTTTTTTCAAATATAGTCAAACTGAACTCTTCCTTTCACAAATGGACCATGTACGGCTATTGCTCATCCGGCACGACTATTGTTTCTCCTGGACTAATGTATTCCGTACTTTGTACAAATCTCCTAAGAGATACACGTTCACTCTTTTTCTATATAATCTTTGCTAAGCCTTAATTGCTCAATTCTTTTTTGTAACTAGAAAAAATGTAAAATTTTATTAAATGTAAGAAGTTCAAAAAATTAGAAAAGAAATAAAAATCTAAAGAATATAAAAAAAACTCAAAGAAAGAACAAAAGCTTAACATAAATTTTGAAGTTTAAGATTCAAACTAAATTTTTAAAATAAAAAGTAATCTAAATATTAGAAATAAATAACAAAAAACAAAAAATGTAAGAAATTTTAATAAATCTATAAGTGAAAATTTCAAAAAGGTCATATAAAATCAGAAAAAATGAAAAAAATAAATAAATTCATAAAATAAAATAAAAACAGAAAATAAAAAGCGTGTAAAAATAACAATTCAGAAATAAAAAGTGTGAAAATTAAAAAAAAATGTAAAAAAAGTATACCTTGATTTTTTTGAAAAATGTAAAAAGAAAATGATATTTGTAACTCAATACTTTAAAAATGGTTACAAAATCTAATAATTGTTATTACCATTTTGATGTTAGTTTTTGTCTCTTATTGTTTCTTTGTGTTTATTTTTGTTTATAACTTTGAAATTTTTTGTTTTTAATTGTTTTTTGAGGTTTCTTGTTATAGTTGGTACTTGGTATATTACTTTTCATTGCAAAGAAGCATCATAGGTGAGTATAAATATAAATAAATAATAAATATTAAAACCATTGATAAATAACACTCAGCAACATGGTGCAACAAAAAGCAACACGATGCAACAAAAAGCAACAAATATTATACAAAATGAAACAAAAAGCAAAACATACCATACAACAATGTGAAACATGATACGTAGTACAACAAAAAGAAACACGATGCAACAAAATGCAACGCGCAGTATACAACAAAAAGCAACAAAAGCATCATATAGACGTATCACTATAAAGTATAAATATATAACTCAATCTATTATTCAATGTATTACATTTATCTACTGCGTATTATATTATTTGACTTTGCATCTTGTCATTCATTCTTCTTTTGAGGCATCTTGGCACACAAATCTTCATACTTGACTCTTTTATCTTATTATTGACATTGATCTTCTCAGCCATATTATAATCTTCATGAACTTCCTTTTCTTATACGTTCCTGCAATTATATCACAATGACTATGACAAAAATGTGACAACAAAAGCAGTGCTTCAACAAAGTAGCATGTCTCATCTTTATGTTCCCTTCAGGCACATCTACGGATCTACCACAAATAATTCAATAACAATCTACCAGAAATGGAATCATAATAAAAATTAGTAATACGGAGTAATAGATAATAATAGTTGAGAAATGATTAACATGAGTCAACACAATGCAACAAAAAGAAACTACACAACAAAAAGCAACAAATTAAAAATAACCAAGAGCAACAAAAAGCAACAAAAATAAACATAATGCAACAAAAATAAACAAATTTAAAACAACAAAAAGCAACAAAAAGAAACAAGAAAAAACATGGAAAAAGAAAATAAAAACAACAAATAATAATATCTGATAATTAAATATTTAATAAATAGATCACAAAACAAAGAGATAAATCCCATCTACAGGCTATAAAACTGACCACAATCATTAATAGCTAGCATAACAAAATGAAGCTAACATAAACATCCAACACATATTCATAGTTTCAATTCTTTGAAGGTTCTAAGCAGCAAATTGTATTCATGAGTGAACAAAACTAACAATTAAACCTAACCTAAGCATTTCATCAAATGTCAAGTGAAACCTAGCTATATTGATTACCTGCAAATCTGGTGAGTTTCAAGAGAACTGCACCTTGAAGCTACTGTTTCAGCATTAGAAATGATTTAGCTAGACCACAAAAAGTAAAATCTAATAATCGAGGTCTAATAGTAATAGTAGTTACAAAAACTATACAAATCAATACAAATTAAGCAATTTGAGACTTTCAGGTTAATCAATTTTAGAACTCAGATTATAAAAACAATACAAAACAATCAAATTCAGGCTTTGGAATTACAAGTTTACAAATTGACCTATAAATTTGAGATTAAATTTGAAAAAAAAAGGTTAGAAACTTACGAGTTAGAAATTAAGCTGGATATGGAGATGACAGACAAGTTAAGGAGGGCTGGAGGAATTTGTTCGTCTTCTAGGAGTGGAGCAGTGTGGCAATCCGACGAAGTTATCAAGCGACCGGCGAGTTGGCATCGATGCTTCACAGAGACCGAAGTCGGAGGATTGGAGAAAGGAGGGGAGAGTGAAGGCCGGAGTAGAGGGGAAGGAGAATCTCAAGGCGGTCTTCCACTCACTCTCCGAAATCGGATAAGGTGGCAAGGAACGGGATGTGAATGTGCCTTGCTTCTCTGGTATACGAGTACCAATCTACCAATGGAGGAAGGGAGGGTGAAGAAAGAATATCCTAAAAGTGAAATAAAGATAACATAATTGAAAAGAAAAAAGTTAAAAATGAAAAGGAAAAACAATTGGGACATAAATGATATGTGGTAGACAAAATTAGACCATGCGGGTAATTTCCACAAAAAAATTAGGAAACACCGAGCGGTCTTGGCCCAGAACCAGGTCAAGGTCCACCCCTATGTGTATTGAAAGAAGGGGAATCCAACATTAATCATGTTATTAACTTATTATGTTCGTTTAGAATTGAGTTAGCCAACACCTACTCATGCCACACGTGTGAATTGTGAAGTGGTTGTGACAACATTGACTTTGCCTAAAGTCTAGAGAGATCAGCATCGTCGTTTGTGCACCTGCACACCAGGCCACCAGCCATGCTAAATGAGACTGTGTGTATTTCAAACTGGGTTCACAGAGTATTGTCTTAGTACTTGTGAGTAGGGGTGGACTTGGACGGGTCAGGTCAGCTCGGGATCGGCCTGACCCAATACTGTGAAGGCCCGACCCGACCCAGTCAGCCGGTACCGGGATTGGGATTGAGGCTTGAATCGGGATTTATTTGGGTGGGCTATAGGCTTCCATTTTTGGTGACCGGTCGGGTGAGGCTAGGCGGTTTCGGGGGTTTGGGGTGGGGGTGTGGGGTGGGGGGTTGGAATTAATTCGAAAAGACAAAAAAAGAATTGCATGCATGACCAGGAGCCTGACACGGTTCTAACTCGGGCTGGTACTGGGCCTGAATATCTTGGACCCGGAGCCCGACCCAACCCGACCATTTCCCAATTCACCCTTACTTGTGAGTGGACTGAATTGTCAGTTGAGAGGTTTGGCACTGCGGTGATGAGAGAGGTGGTTGTTAGGTGGCAAAGGGTAGGACTTGCAACGGCTTGGTGTCTATAGTTGTGTTGAGGCAAGATAGACATTGTCAATCCAAGAAGCTGGGCGACAAGAACTTAATTTAAAACAAAAAGCACAAGAAGGAAACTGTAATTGATAACTCAAAACCAGAACAATAGATGAAATAAGAGAGCTAAGGGATGTGATGAAGAAGTTCAATGCTATGAAGAAATACTGAGAAATAGTGTGATCCAGAGAAACATGTCGTACGAAATAGGTCCAACTTGTATATTGATGTGTTCTTATTCCTATCATATATTCGTTCTCTATGATTGTTGGATTGTTACTTATATCATATATGTTTTGTCTTTTTTATCCAACCCCCACCATTTTAATAAATTAGTTCAATACCACTCCGAAGTCCAATCCTACAAATGCATTTGTTAGAAATAGCACAACTAAGATAATTGACGGATAGTATATCTAGGGATACCGCTGAGGGGTATCTAGAGAGAAGTCAGAACAAGTAAGAGAGAGTAGGTGTGTATTAAATGAACTCAAAGTGTTTGATCGGATCTGGGGTCCTTTACAATGAAGATTTGGCTTGCTATTTATAGCAGCCATGAATGCTAGATGCATAAAATGAGGCTACACGTGGCACGTAACCAGCGATGGAGGGTCAACTCTGTAACACCCCGCCCCGTAAGGCCAAGGGTAGTTACTCGACCTCTCTCCGGACCTCTAGTACTGTCCTCACAAACCACCACGAGCCTTTACCGCGCACTTTTGTCCTCACTCGTGCGCGCCCTGAGAAACTTCCCAGAGGGTCACCCATCCCAAGACTACTCCCGTGCAAGCATGCTTAACTTTGGAGTTCTTAGCTGATGAGCTCCCTTAAAAGGAGATGCACCTCTGTTGGTATGAGTAGTACTATTAATCCTCTTAAATTAATCTCGGGTATTACAATCACCCCCACTTAGGATCGCAACGTCCTCGTTGCGCCCATAAACCAATATCAATCA